CTAGATAGGACTGCTTTCAGAATTTGTAAGGCACGGACCATTCAACAGGGTCCCTACTCGCCCACGAGGCCCGGAGAAAGGGCAGTTTCTCCATGCCCTCTCCCACGCCAAGGGCCACTTCCCCAGGCCTCGTTCCCTGTCCTGGGATTATTTGATCTCCTCAAGATCTTTGATGGTGGGAATATCCACTCCCTCTGGGAAAAATTCCCAATTCCTGCCAACAGTGCCCTCTGGCCATAGGATTTCAACAAGACATTCACATCATAGTTCAGCACGTATCAGACTTCCCAGCACCTGGCTTATTCAGTCCGGAATAACATCATGAATGGGACACCAAGACTTCAGGCCACGTAGGGTTTAGCCTGGCCAAACCCAGTTCCTTTTCTCCAGATGAAGGTTGGGCTTGTGTGTCTTTCCTATAGTCCTGGAGACTTCTCCATATCTCCTGTAAAGAGCTACATGAAAAAGAAGCCATATCACCCTAATGTCAGAGGCGTTTGAACCAGAGCAACTCCATCTTGAATAGGAGCTGGATAAAATGAGGCTGAGACCCACTGGGCTGCATTCCCAAACAGTTAAGACATTCTATGTTACAGGATGAGATAGGAGGTTGGCACAAGATACAGGTCATAAGGACCTTGCTGATAAAACAGGTTGCAGGAAAGAAGCTGGCCAAAACCCAGATGGTCACAAGAGTAACCTCTGGTCATCCTTACTGCTACACTCCCACCAGTGCCATGACAGTTTACAAATGCCATGGCAACATCAGGAAGTTACCCTATATGATCTAAAAGGGGGAGGCACGAATAATTCTCCCCTGGTTTAGCATGTAATCAAGAAATAACCGCAAAGATGGGCAACTAGCAGCCTTCGAGGCTGCTCTGTCTGTGGAGTAGCCGTTCTTTTATTCCTTTACTTAATAAACTTGCTTTCACTTTATGAACTCGCCTTGAATTCATTCTTGCACGAGATCCAAGAACCCTCTCTTGGGGTCTGGATCTGGACCCCTGTCCAGTAACTGTAGGATCAACCCATAACTTATGGATCTGAAATTGTGAGTGTGAGGTGGTTTGGAGGGATAATTCATCTGAAGCACTTAGCATCAGAGAGCTCAAGAAACAGTAGATATCAGTTTTTTAAATTACAATACAAATGTTCCAGGCAGGGGCTGTTACTGCTCTGGCAGAGACAGACGCATCCAATGCTGAAGGAGGAAGCAGGAAGCCCGCCGTTAGGAGAATGGTCTCTTAGCCAGAATGGAAGGGACAGCGGGAGCGGAAGAAGCTCTCCCAGGATGGGCAAGAGAAAGATGGAGAGCAGCAGCTGTTCAGTTGCTCCTTGAAGGACCCCACCCTGAGAGCCTGAAGGCAGCTGTTGTCAGCCCCCAGGAGGCCTATAGACCAGAGCCCAGAATAGACACTGGGCTGCTTGGGGCAGTCTAATCCCACGGAGGGTTTTAACCCTAATGTTGCAGAGCCCATGTGCCTTTCCACCTTGCCACTGCCATCCATACAACAATCAACACAGAAGGAAAGGGTCAAAAGTCGCTTTTGGAGCTTTGCATTTGCACATGGGTGTTTCCAAGTCAGGTGCTAATGCCTGGGGGGCTGCCAAAACCTTGTTTCTGAAATTATTTTCTAGACCCTTTAAATTCATCAGTATAGACATAGTGACGATAAACATTTTTATAGTAGACTTTCACACAAGACAAAGATCAAAGGCATGTGTAATCGATGATAAAAGGAAGTGATAAAAAGAATCACTCTCAGGTATATCTTGGTGTTGATTTTATTTTTAATAGCTCAGCTATGAGACTCTGACTTTGTGCATGTACTTAGAGCTGACGTTGGAAGCCTCCAGCTGTGTCACAGTTAGAGGTTCTTCATGCCCAAAGCACCGCCAACGATCCAAGCCATGCTGGCGCTCATTCTGTTGTTCCATCCCTTTTCCGAAGGCTTAGTTTTGCAGAAGTCGTCCTGAGAGTCCTTGGCACTATGCTTATAATTTGGATTTTGAACACCACGTGAACTCTGGCACCTGGTTATGGGGTCCAGTATCCACAGTCCCCAGTGGGAATTACAGCATTTCTCTTTTGTGTCTTACAATACCAAATAATTGGGCTTTTTCTGTGAAAATAAACTGCTTTTAATACATGCATTATTAAACCAATAAAGCATTAATATTTACTAATTACTAATTTAAGCAAAGTAAAACCTATTTCAGAGTAAGGGAAAAGCATGCAGAAACACACATTGTTATGAACTGTTGATAAACAAGGCTTAATGTAATCCTGGTTTTCCCCATTCTATCTTAAAGGAAAATCTCAAACTCTTGCTTTCATAAACAAAACTTGGTAATTTGAAAGAGTCCGGGTTTTTATAATGATCGCATTCCTTAAAATTAAACTACAGTTTTCACTTTTCTTAAAGGGAAAAACATTGAAAACTTTCTCACAGAGAGAAAGCATTGATTTTCCTCTGAGTTCCTCCCATGAACTGTCTCGATCGCTGCCAACTCAGTTCCTTCTGTATTCTGTGCACGTGGAATACACTGTTTTCTGCTTAAAGAGTTATTTCCAACCCCCATCCCCAGCCACACCTCAGTTCCATGAGTGATCGTGGCTCAATGACCTAGGCACCCCAAGCATTCGCCATAAATAAGGCTGTTTACTGACCTATTTTTACTAGGACTACTGAGATGTGCTGAAACCTGGTGGGGGTTGGAGTCGGGGGGATTGAAGTTACACTTCTCTCTAGCACCATCAGTCATTGTTCAGATACTTAAATTTCACAAACAGAATCAATGGCCTGCTGGGGGCATTGTCACTTACACCGAGCAGGGCCATCTGTCGCAGCCCTGGCATTTTAAGTCATTTTAGATGACAGCGTTGCGGGATCTCTTTCTTTGTTCGTGGATTTCAGGATGAAGTCCTCCAGTGGGGCTTCATGACTGACCAAGGTTTGAAATTGATAATGTCCCCAGTTGGGGACTTGCTGATTAGGCTGCGTTCACAGCAATTAGAAGATCATCTGGTGTAAAAACTGTCCGGAGAGAGAGGGGCACAGAATCCTTGAGCTCAGATGGAGCAGTGGAAGAGAAAGCCAGATCTCCGTTCTAGAGGCAGAGTTTTCCACTTCTCCCTAAGGGGTCGTCTCAGCAGCCTGCCTCTCAGCTACAACATGGGGAAATCTCACTGCAGATGTGCTCATCACAGAACTGCACAGGTACTCCCTGAATCCAACTTGGGTTATTAAAACAACAATGAGGCGTATGCGTTCGGCTCCGTTCACCCCCAGGGTGACCAGCTGTCTCACTCCTCAGCCCAAATCCAGGGGATTCATTGTCTAGGAATAATTTCTTCCACCTTGGGAATTCTCTGATTTACTCTTACCTAGGTCCACTGGTCTTGACCAAAATGTGAGGTGTCCCTAACTTAAGATTTTGACTTTTAAGTGGCAGTCGAGGAAATAATGTTATGAGGTTTGTTTATTTCTCTAGTGGTCAAAGACAGAGAAGTAAAAAGGCAAAGCTGGAGTCCGAATGTATGGCTGCAGGTTCAAGATTCCAGGCCAAGTTCTTGGAACTCCAGCGCCTCTAGACTCACCAGCCCCACCAGCTCGTCCAGCCGCACCAGCCCCTCCAACCCCAGCAGGCCCACAAGCCCCACCAACCCCTCCGACCCCTCCAGCTCTGCCGCAGGAAATCCTGCCTCAGGGAATCATGATCCACCACCCAAAAGTATTTGCAGAAAAAAGAGATTCCACTGTTGCCTTCCCTCGAGGGTGGTGTTGAGCCCATTAAGCTTTCCCCAGCAGTACACAGAGTAACCTTCAGGATTCTGGTGGAAAAATATCCCAAATTCTGCTTCCTTATGCTTCACCATATGGCCCTAGGGCACACACACTAATCGAGAACAGCCCGGGGCATCCTGTCACCCCCCACGGTGCACCTGCAAACTGGCTTTTACAGCAACCCTGTCTTCCAAATGGGTCCGTGTCTTTCTAGGCATCGTTTGTAATGCTAACCTGTTTGGTACTACCCAGAAATGCCAACATTTCTACCACTTTAATCTAAAGAGATTAAATCACACTCCGTGATACTCCTGACAACAAACAGCATTTTAACCAGTAATTTACGATACAAAGATTTTCAATCAGGGGGCTAAGCCCTTCCCTGGTGGTTTTAAGAAACTGCCAGCCTCGATGGAGACTCCTCCATCAATTCCTCATCATTAGAAAAGAAACAACGGAGGAAAAAATCATCCAATTAAGTGACAATTCCAATGTGTAAATCTTATAATATTTTTGCATTTGTGATATGGGTTCTACACGAAAAACACAACTTGTCTAATCTGAACGAGATTTTTCAGGAAGTTATCCTATTTTGTTTGTGCCTCTTGGTTTAGTAAACTCCCAACCACTTTTTCTTCCCTCAGCCCCAACTCCCCACACACAAAATGTTTCTCATTATGACCTGAGACATTCATTCTGACTGTAGAGGTTTTAGATCATTTCTTCTAGGTGTTAATCAGTTCTGGCCATATGGTGAGGGTGAGGTAATCATTATTACTTTACAATGAATGCCCTTAATTACATTTTCAGTAGTAATATTAGTCCTTCTGTTTATTTGAGTACCTAAGAGCTGCAGGCAACGTGATCTGAATTACATGGAGGACAAGCTCCAGCTGACTCTCCGTAAACTCGCATTAGGATTCTACTATGCGACGACAGGAGCAGGTGGGGATAATGAGCTGGCAGAAGGGGCTGCCTGTCACACTGCCCGGTGGTCCCCCTTTCACCCCCACTTTGCCTCAGGCATTTTCTACTTAGCTGTGACCTTACTTGTGGTGATACCAATCCAGTGGTCAGGAGAGAGGCACCCAGCCCATGTCTGAATCCTCCTACTGACCCTGGGGATCCATGCGACTTGATCTTAGATATTGGTGGTGAAGTGTCGCTCTCCTTGACAGCATCCAGGAAAAGGTAATTACCTTTGCCAAAATGCAAGTGGAAGTTCAAAGCCTCAGCCTTGAAGAGTGTCCCTGGGGACTTCCAGGCCCCGAATGTGAATGTGAAGCCCTTCTGCCCAGTGGGGCAAGACGCCGGAGTGACCTTCACCTGAGTGGGAGGGCAGTCACTGTTTGGGTCCACTTTAGGGGTGGTCCAGGTCAATTTAACTTGTCATATGCCACGGGAAGACATAAGGTAAGTTAATGATTCTAAGATGAATCAACTGCTCTTTTAGTCAGGGTCTCTTGAGAATTCATTCACTCAATCCACGAATGTATTTGACTCTCTAGTATGTGTTACGGAACCGGGCTTAAGGACATTTAAGTAAAGAGAGAGACAGCGATTAATTCACTGCCCCAAAGGAGGCCTGGAATCTTCTTAGGGAAAAGAATCCGCACAAAACACTCCATTGAGTATTCTTGTGTTTAGCCTGAGTCATGTTGACTTGAAAAATTGCAACGTAAAAACTGTATATTTTCACACAGTGTGGTAGAAGGAATAGGCTTGTTCTCAGACTATGTCTTGCCCTGGAGATAGGTCCACAGGAAGCCTCTATCTTGGTCGCCGTTTGGCATAAGCTTTGCACCTGTTCCCTTCTCCTTGCCTAGATTCTTGCTTCTTCTCTCGCTTTAAAGACCAGGATTTGTTGTTGTTGTTGTTGTTGTTGTTGTTGCTGTTGTTGTTTTAGAGATAGTATCTTGCTCTGTCCCCCAGGCTGGAGTGCAGTGTAATATCATAGCTTGCGGCAGCATAAACCTCCTGGCTTCAAGTGATCCTCCCAGAGCAGCCTCCCGAGTGGCTAGGACTACAGCCATGTGCCATCACGTTTGGCTAATTTTTTTTATTTTTTGTAGCATTGGGGTCTTGTCATGTTGCCCAGGCTGGTCTCGAACTCCTGTCCTCAAACGATCCTCCCACTTCAGCCTCCTGAAGTACCACCATGCCCAGCAAGACCTGGATCTTTAACGCTTTGCCTGTCTTTGATCTTTGACACCTCCTGACACCCAAGCCCCTGCCTCCCGCTAGGCAGGCATTTTTGGTTAAAGTATGAGCTCCCACTTTGTATTTATCTCCAGCTTTGGGTGTTCAGTTTGATGGGGACCAGCCACAGGTGTCCCCACCTAGTTCTCCAGCCCTAATTTGTTTTCTCCCATGTTGCAGTTCCTGGCTTCTTCCCATTTGCCCACACCCTCTTTGTGGTACAGTGCCCCAAACTGACACATGCCACAGGCTCAGAGTATCTTCTGGCTGGTCACTCGAGGGCAGAGAGGATTTCGTGACCTTTCCCTGAGAACAGCTGCATGAACTGCAGGGTCAGCAAAGGGGTCGTGTCTGCCTGCTGCTAAGGTCAGCTGCAGACAGCCCATGTCAGGGAAAGCCCATTTAGCATTAGAAGAGTAAAAAGAAGAAAATACCTCCTCAGCCAGGAGTACTTTGATGTGAACCAATACAATTAGTCTCTGAATGATGAATATAAATGATAATCAATGACGTATATGTGCTTAAAAGAAGGTGAGAAAAGATTATCACTGCCTAAACCTTCCTTTTAAAGGACACCACAAGTGGATGAGTGGAGCATATAGGGTAGATAGGATTTTTTTTTTTTTTTTTTGAGATGGAGTCCAGCTCTGTCGCCCAGGCTGGAGTACAGTGGTGTGATCTTGGCTCACTGCAACCTCTGCCAACTGGGTTCAAGTGATTCTCCTGTCTCAGCCTCCCAAGTAGCTGGGATTACAGATGCACGCCACCATGCCAAGCTAATTTTTGTATTTTTAGTAGAGACAGAGTTTCACCATGTTGGCCAGGCTGGTCTCAAACTCCTGATCTCAGGTGACCTGCCCGCCTCAACCTCCCAAAGTGCTGGATTTCATGTGGGAGCCACTGTGCCTGGCCGGGTAGATATGATTTAAATCTTTTTTTTTTTTTTTAATTTTTTTTTTTTTTTTTTTTTGAGATGGAGTTTTGCTCTTGTAACCCAGGCTGAAGCTCAATGGCATGATCTCAGCTCACTACAACCTCCACCTCCTGAGTTCTAATGATTCTCCTGCCTCACCCTCCCAGGCAGCTGGGATTACAGGCACCCACCACCATGCCCTGGTAATTTGTGTATTTTTAGTAGAGACAGGGTTTCATCATGTTTACCAGGCTGGTCTTAAACTCCTGACCTCAAGTGATCTGCCCACCTCACCTCCCAAAGGCCTGGGATTACAGGCATGAGCCAACATGCCTGACTGATATGATTTAAAGAACACTGGAAGATACAGCAAAGTCTCAAAGTGGTTGTCTATGGATGGCACTATGAGTTACATATTATTTTTCCAGAGCTCAGAACGTTCTGAATTTCTTTATTTTTGTTATTTATTTATTTATTTTGAGATGGAATCTCACTCTTGTTACTTAGGCTGGAGTGCAATGGCTCATCTTGGCTCACTGCAACCTCCGCCTCCCGGATTCAAGTGATTCTCCTGCCTTAACCTCCCAAGTAGCGGGAATTACAGGCGCCTGCCACCACTCGCGGCTAATTTTTTGTCTTTTTAGTAGAGTCAGGGTTTCACCATGTTGGCCAGGCTGATCTCGAACTCCTGACCTCAAATGATCTGCTTGCCTTGGCCTCCCAAAGTGCTGGGATTACAGGCGTGAGCCACCACAACCAGCCTGAATTTCTTTAGAGAATCTATATTGCCTTCATAAAAACTTGCTTTAAAGTTGTTTTTTATTTTAAATGTTCATTTGAAGTTAAAATGCTTTTCCTCTGACTAGGTGTTTAATGCATTTAGGAAAGGCTGAGCATGAAACCAGGGTTGGGGGAAAGAGCCTGTTTAGAGGGGATTATAAAAACGGAGACTCCCAGCTGGGATTGACAGGAGAGGGTCAGAGCCCAGAGAGATGCCTGCTGGAAAAGAAGTGACAGGGTTGAATATTTGCCCTGCTCAGTGTCATGTTGGAATGTGATCCCCAGTGTTGGAGAGGGGGCCTGATGAGAGGTGATTGGATCATGGGGGTGGACTGGTCGTGAATGGTTTAGCGCCATCCCCTTGGAGCTGTCCTTGCGATAGTAAGTGAGTTCTCACGAGATCGGGTTGTTTAAGTGTGCGGCATCTTCTCTTGCTTTCTTGCTCTCACTCTTGCTGTTTGATGTGCGTGCTCCTACTTTGCCTTCCGCCATGAGTGAAAGCTCCTTGAGGCCTCCCCAGAAGCCAGGCAGAGCCATGCTTCCTGCACAGCCTGCAGAACCATGAGTCAATTAAACCTCTTTTTTTCTTTTCTTTTCTTTTTTTTTTTTTTTTTTTTTTTTTTTTTTTTTTTTTTTTTTTTTTTGAGACGGAGTCTCGCTCTGTCGCCCAGGCTGGAGTGCAGTGGCACGATTCAGCTCGCTGCAAGCTCCGCCTCCTGGGTTCATGCCATTCTCCTGCCTCAGCCTCTCAAGTAGCTGGGACTACAGGTGCCCGCCACCACGCCAGGCTAATTTTTTGTATTTTTTAGTAGAGACGGGGTTTCACCATGTTAGCCAGGATGGTCTCAATCTCCTGACCTCGTGATCTGCCCACCTCGGCTTCCCAAAGCGCTGGGATTACAGGCGTGACCCAACGCGCCCGGCCAACCTCTTTTCTTTATAAATTACCCAGCCTTGGGTATTTACAGCAATGCAAAGAACAGCCTAATGCAAGAAGTAAGAGGAAAGATGATACCAACTTACCAGTAAGGGTACTGAGATGACATCCAAGTAAAATGCAGAACAGTTATCATTTCATTTGCTTGGCAGAAGGAGGGTGACAGTTTGTAGGGAGATATAATCCGACCAAATGGTTTAGGGAAATGTGAAACCAAATGGTTTAGGGAAAATAGGATGAAATTCAATATATTTGAATTTGGGAATATATTCAATATATTTCAGTCCAATATATCCTTACAGAGTGAGGTTTGGCATGGTGCCACTGTGGATCATTTGTCTTCTATTCAAAAGAAGGACAATGTCTGTGTTAATGTTATGGTTCAGGAACCCAGCAGCAAGCGCAGCCCGCAGCCTGCACTCCCAGCCACTCCTGCTTACATGAGATAACAGTGAGCCACAAGACAGCGCCCCCATCTGAGCATGCTTGGCCCTGGGAACCATTAGGGACTCTTAAGAAGCAGAAAGTCCTGACCACCTAACAGTGAGCACCAGCTTTTCACTTAAGAGTTTCTGAATATTCACCAGGTCAGGTTTTCTTTTGTTTGTTTGTGTGTTTGTTTTGTATTTTTTGAGACAGGCTGGGGTGCAGTGGCACATTCACGTCTCACTGCACCTTGACCTCCTGGGTTCAAGCGATCGATCCTCCTGCTTCAGCCTCCTGAGTAGCTGAGACTGCAGCTGCACACCACCAAGCCCAGCTAATTGTATATATATGTATGTATTATTTTATATATATGTATGTATTATTTTATATATATATGTATTATTTTATATATATATAATTATATATATATAGTTAGCCCAGCTAATTGTATATATATGTATGTATTATTTTATATATATGATATATATATATATATTATATATTTAGAGACAGGGTCTTGCTGTGTTCCCCAGGCTGGTCTCAAACTCCTGGGCTTGGGCAATCCTCCTGCCTTGGCCTCCCAAAGTGCTGGGATTACAGACATGAGCCACTGTGCCTGGCCGGCTTGCTTCTTTTAACCTAAGCTATTCCTACTTTACCTTGACCTTAAAGCTGATTGGACTTCATTTTACGAGAGGATGCTGTGGCTTACCCAGGTCATAACCATTAAATTTATCACATTAACCAATGTTTAATCATGATCACAGATTACTGAGAATACTGGCAAGAAAGTGAGTAACTACAAAATTACAACAGGTTGTGTGCAATTAAAATTTTTTTCAAATAGATTTTAGGTTAACATTAAACATTCCAGTTATAATCTCTATTCTGCAGTTGATGCAGAGTTTGAGTTTAAAAAAAGAACTGTCTTCACAGAAACGTGGACTTAAAAATATATTTTTATATAATAAACTTTATATTTTTAGAGCTATTTTAGGTTCACAGTAAAACTGAGCAGAAAATAGAGATTTCTGATACCTTTTGCCCTCAGACATGCACAACCTCCCTCCCTATCAACCTCCCCCACCAGAGTAGTAGATTTTTTACAACTGATGAACCGACATTGACGTATTATCACCCGAAGTCCGTAGTTTAGAT